ATATAAGCGAGTGAAAAGAACTCCTTACAAAAGAGAAGATTCACATACAACAAAAAAGCAAATGGGTATGCGAATAATGAAGTAAACTTCTAGATGTAGTCCTCACCCAATTTCGTTTCGAAGTATGAGAGTTAGCAAAAGCCTTCTTTTTTAAGGCGATAATATGTGTGCACGTCTAAAAGAATCTTCTTGAGAATGATATGAGGAAACAACATTCCTTTCTGCGAGAACAAGAACAAGAGAATCATTACTTGTGTGAGTTCCATTAGGTTGCTAACAAGATCAGGGTAGAGACATTTCGTTCAAGGGATTTTCACAATATTGCTATACATAATCACTTTGGCGCAAACAGTGCTCTTTTCTCCTAATGAAATGAAACCTTACATATAGCACAAGCCCAATTTTGTAATGTTTATAATTGATGTTTGTCATAAAGTTAAGTTTTTACTATTTGGTTGCATTTTGCAAGTTTGAACTAATTTTACTGTGTGGTACGGATGATTTTTTAAAGGAAAAGTACAGTAATGTTCAGGACGCTCAGATTACTGTAAGTCTTACTTCAAGCCATCCATGTTTAAGTTACAAGTTTAGTTATTTAGATAATCACATAGATATTTGGTCAGTATGAGAAAGGTCCCTCCTCTTTACAATGATGAATTTTTTCTTTTCTTCTCAGAGCTCCTTGATCCACTGGAAGTACTCGTTGAATATAAGGAATTTTAGCATTTTACCAGTATTGCATACAATGCTAAAGTATTACATCAAGATTGTGCTATACCTGCTGAGCACCTAACATACCATAGAACATACCTCACTGCTTATGGTCAAATTGAGATTGGGTGGAAATACATGACAGGAATGCAAACTGTATGATGACATTGGCTTGCCTTACGAAGGCCTGATCTTCTTTGGATCTTGTCGTCAAGAAGGTTCGAAATCGGAAATGCTTTTCACATTCTTCCAAGACAAGTCTGCAAGCAGTGTCATGCACATGTCTCCAATGCACGGATGAAGAGAAGTGACGAACCATTTCGGAACAGGATCTCCTGAAGAGACGCGCTTAGGAGAGAGAGCCTTTTACTAGGAGTATTTTTCAGGTGTAATTTGTTATATTGCCAAAGATCTGAGTGGATGAGCTTCAAACCATGATTGACTTTAGGTGGCAAGAGTACAAGACATCCTTCTCGCTTTCTTCTAATATTCCTCCTAATGGGCTCTCTCTCCTAAGCACAACCAACACCAACACGATTCTGTCCACAAATTGTGACACTTTTCACCAACACGGGTAATTTGGTTCAGAAGTACCTTGATGCAACTTTGAACGTCACTGATTCTTCTGGAAGCAGCAAATCTTGCATGAAAGGGAGTGAATGTCTACACACGGAATGGAAAGTCCAATCCACACTCGTTCGGCAATTGATCTGCAAAATTATCACATATTGGTCCTTTGGACGCACAAATGGAGATGACATCTAACCTGAGGAAAGACAAGCTAAGATGGAGCTCAACCCAGCACTAGATTGGCATCCATGTGAGCTTTTCTTCCACCGTCCGTCTTTTGAGGAATGTAACTCCAAGCGACAAATCCACATCATACCTGCTACTGTGTGGACTTCCGATACATGGGGTGTAGAGCAAAGTGAACCTTCCTTTGCTCGAGGAATGGAAGTTAGCACAACAAAATCAATCTGGGGAAGATATCCATGGGCAGGAATCAAGAGAATAGATTCGAGGTACAGCACTTTGGCCGATATCTTGAGAAGAAACGCCATAACTTTTGCAGGGAGTAAATGCATGAAATGTAAATGGTTCGAGATCGGGCATCTTTATACGAAGCCCTTCTCATAAGGGTGATGAGATTCACAATTAAGATATTAGTTGAACAAAACACTGGTAATCAAAATACCACACTTAGATACAGTAATGTTTGGAACTCAAGCCTTGCAAGTTTATAAATACTACCCATTATTCCACTGAGCAACACATGCTCCTCGAGGACAAGGTATGCAAACATAAGTATGGAGCAATTAACGTTAGGCTCGCCTTAAATATAAACTGGGTATGTTAGTTCTCGTTCGAGGAGGGTTTACTGTTGTGATTGGGTTAAGCGTTTATTATCTGGGTATACTGTGGCTAGTTTTCAACGACTTTGATGTTTCATTTCACCTTAAATGGAAACGAAACAGATAAATAATAAAACTCGATTATTGCTATCAAAGTTGAATACTATGAGAGTTAGGGAGAATTGCATAAAGAGATAGTCAGTGCTTTAATTAAAATACCATCAGTAATTTCTTTCAAATCCCACGATGTTTGGAGTTCTTTTTTATTCCATGTCTTGGATGGGTGTATTAACATGACTTTTGTATCTTCTAGTTCCATGATGAGTACCTTATACTCCTTGTCATGTATACTGGGAAGCAATAGGTAGAGATCGTAGATATTGGACTAAATTGCAGTAGGATTCTGTACAAGTTAACATTTAGGTTCTTCCATAAAAAAATTGACAATTGGGTTCATGGGAATTGTAAAAGCAGACGAAAGTAGATACGAGAACCCATAATCTCTTCTTTCTTATTTTATGTCCAATCGTAATGAGCAGAACTTTTTTCTCTTTATGGTTTTTACATGCATCCATGATCATAAATTTACAGACAGAAATGAGAACTTTATTAATTCAGATGAAAAATAAAAAATTTGATAAATTGTAAATTATTCTATTTTCAATTTTTTACCGATTCAAAATAGGTCATGAATGATGCATGGGTTTTCTAGAACTTGCTTTGAGATCTTTGATTTTCAAATGATTTTATGCAATTCCTAGTAAGAAGAGTTCATTTGATGATGTATGCCATTCTTATGAATTGAAGAAAACATCAAAATTACAAAGACTTATTATTGCACTTTTGCACTTTAGATCTTACTTTAGATATAATTTTTTCACTCCACTCTTTATAGGACATAATTGTTGGGCTTTGGTATACTTTTAGTTTAACATCCAGTAAAAAAGTGTTTTGAAAATACAGTAAAAAATGTTTATATGATATTTTACCTTCAATCATCTCTAAATGAAAGTTTTTTTTGACTTATGCTTTGAATGTGTTAAGTGATGTAATTAAATTTCACACAGATACATTGTGGGCCGGATATAGTATATTATATATATTCTTGACTATTTGGCTGCCTAGCTTCATCTTGTTTGCCTGAAGATTAAAGTGTTGAACTGCAAGTTAGAATATGTTTTAATTTTTTTTTTCACATCTTATTTCTAAATTGTGCATGTTACAACATACCATTTTTGTTAGCTTGAATTTCTAAAAATCCTTCTAATTTTGTTTTCAATAATCGACACACATTCCAAACTCACTGTATACAAATGTAATAAAATAGCTGAAGATTCACATAAGGTATTGAATAAAGTATTTTATATCAACATACTTGATCATTTTGTATAAATAGTTTTACATGCAATCATGTAATACTACATTTTCAGAAAATATTTGTTGATTCTATGATAAAAAAATTGCACATAAAGATTTTATGCAGATTTTTTTCATAGATTCAAAGATTATTTTGCCATATCATTTAAAAGTAGTAGTTTTCTTGCCAATAAAATATCAAAATTTCTTGAGTAGTAAATTTTTTGAATTGTGATAATGGATAAATCTATTTTAGGTTTTTGATAACTATGTAAAAGAAAATTTATCTTATGGATACTATAACGACAAAATGACTGTTCCTTAAAAGTGTTCTAGAAACTCAAAATTTTAAAAGTTTTAAATTAGTATTTTATAATTCAAGCAATCTATAATTTTAGTATGATATACAATTTTTCTTTATGAATAAGTCTATTTCTTATGCTGACAAAAATAGTGTATACTTTTTGGCTCTTGCAAGTATACATTCTCATCCCTGTTGGCTCAACCTACATGGATCCACTTCTTGATATATATTACATATCTAATGAAAAAATCTGGGGGGTTTTTTCTTGAAATGTTCAATTTCTACATATGAGAATAATGTCTAACTATAATGATGTTATAATCTAACCCAAGATTTGATGAACTCTAGTTAGTTTGACTGTGTTTAGCTGGTTAGCACTAGCCAATGAGTCCATTTAACCACAGTCCAAGAAACCCTAAGGGCTAACCTATGTTAGAGAGCGAGCAGAGCAGTATGTGACATAAATCCGCGTTTGAATCTTAGAATCTATGTATTTTATGGATGTTATGACGCTGAGGTGAAACCATATATTTTTTCATCAGAATATCAATCTTGACCTACCAATAATGATATATATTGTTTGTGGTATAAATACAATTAAAAAAAATGTGAAGTGCTAGTTATCACTCACTTGAAGTTAATTAGCCCTCACGCTACCATAAATTCTTATCTGATTGGTCGAACACTGCACCCCTACTACCATGCATAGACCAATAAGAGAATTGCTTATATTAGAGTGAGAGTTAATAACCCTAAGTGAGGGATAACCAATCGCACCCAAAAAATAATCTATCCAACATTAACCTTAGTATGGATTCTTTATATTTATAAGCATCAACATTTCATAAATTCATTCAGAAGTTAGGTTAGATTCATACTTGGTTTGGAAAGATAAAATTATTTTGAACCTTGTTATATAATATGGTAGAGGTGATAAGTCGTTTATCGATCCTTATGGATAGATAGGAGTAAATTTATTCAACCAAGGTTTCTAAATTAAAGAGTTATGTAGAGAGTCAAATTATTGCCTCTAGTAGATTTATAGTGATACGAAACTAATGATACCAAATTTGGCAGGTTTGAATGTACGAGGGACTATTTATATGTATGGATATAAGCTGTTGAAGCATATAAAAAATGTATTTTAGGTTATATATGTAAATACATTTATTGTTCTACAGATGCCGCTACTTCTTGCAGTCTAGAAGATATCAATGAAGTGAGATGAATCTTATTCACATGTAATGTAATATGTACACTTTTTGATAGAGATATGTGTAGATTTTAACTACAATATGTCCTATCGTTTTAATTATACTAGACGACTTGATGAGGGCTTCGTTTTGCCCTATTACTTGGTACCCGCAACTTCATCAATGTGCTCCTAAATTTATTTGCCTCTTCGGTCTCAACAGACGAGCGGATCCTTGTTCCACTAGGGGCCAGGGAATTCGAAAGACCTATCGGGTTCGCATTTCTCTGAGACAAGCCGGGCTCTGGGTACGGCGCGGAGCCAAAGAGGCGAGGCCCTTTCAAAAGTCTTTTGATTCCAACGGAGAAAATCAGCGCAATGCGAGACAGTACGAGGAGAGGCAATGAGGCAGCCAATAAATAAAGGGCGACCATGAGCAAGGAGTCGAAGCCCAAGCGTTCGTAACTCTCCCAATGAAGTTCCGCGAGGGCTCTACTAAATGAATAAATGGAATGGCGGAAAGGACAGTAGGAGGAAGGGCTACAGTCCTTTTCGAAATGTAGAAAGGCTCACACAGCCCCAGCCCCAGCCCCCCGGGGGCAGTGTCTCGATGTGTGCCTGGCGCAAGCCCCGGTATCTATAGTGGTTGACTGCGGAGATTGCGCAGATTAGGGTTCCAACCACCGATCGCTCATCAAATCTTCGACGAGTAGTTCACCGCAAAAAAGCCATTAAATAAACTCCGATGCGTGAGGGCGGTACTGTCCTGCCCCTGCCCTGCTGTGCTGGGGCTGGGCTTGCAGCCCCAGCCCCAGCCCCTTTGCTGCAGAGCAGCGCAGCGCTGTGTAAGATACGATAGGAATGGAGTGAGAGAGGGAGATGGAGATCCGAAGGAGCTCTTCTTCCTCTTCCTCCTCTTATGGCCTCCTGCTGCATGCGCTGCTTTTCAGGAGGGGCCATTGTTTTATGTTTCGCTTCTTTCGGCTCTGGTCCATTTTGGATTCGGGTGCATGGGAACCACCCCTGCCACTGGCCTAGCGCCCGGGCCACAGAGCTCGCGACTTCCCTTGCTTGTGCAGCTGCATGCACTACTCGAATGTTTAGAGGCCCTGGCCCAACATCATTGCTCGCTTTCCGCAAACCGCATGACTTTTCCTTTTCCCTCTCCCCGTGTACTTTAATGCTATCCCTCCCATTTTTTATATCGTGATGTGCATCGAACTCCGAATAGAATCGTATGAGCTGAATTCTCCACTATCTTCTCTCGATCCGTCCTCCGACATGGAATAGACAAGGCCAGATGCGACGCCGGAGAGATTTAGCAGCGCTCATCCGAGTGCACCGTACTCTTGGACTGAATGTATGGTGGGATTATAGTAAGCTGGATATTCTTCGGCGTATGCCTATATTTGCCCATCCCCATCCCCTCACGAGCAAGGGTATGATGGCCTACGTGCTCTCCCTCTCTTCCTATCGGAGGGTTGAGCAGCAGCATCAAAGAATCTCCCAACTATCAGATGCTTAGTAGAAGATGCATCACAAGTACACAACCAAATCTTTTGCCGGTGGCCACTGGCCGTAGTGTTATGGTATGAACAGTTCGATCGAATGCGTCCACAAATAGGTGCCACCTTCTGACACCGCATGCTCAAACCTACAAACGTCGGGGAAGCTTGTCATGAAGACGCACCCGATCTGTAAAACGCGTTCCGCCTAGATACAATAAATCTTCCCAGATATCTTAGTAGAATATCGAGGTTCAGACACAGTCGGGGAGTGTATGCACCATGATTGCGGCATCGTTCACGATCGAGCCGAACCATTTTGTACACTGGTGGCGAAACCGCTCACTCATGGTTCGGCAGTAGTGCTGAGGATGCTTTGATTGAAGTAGACAATTGGAAGAAAACAGACTTTCACGAGAACAAATGGCGAAATAAAGAAGTTGGTTCTTGGGCTCCGAGTCAAAAAGATTTGCAGTTTTCGGATATTCTCTGTAAGGCAGAGGCTACCGAGTGATTGTCCTCACTTGGTGTAGATTAGACAGGCCTTAGCCTCTTCTTTACAGGCCTGTCCGTTGATCAGACCGACATCATATCGACCAAAAGACTGGCTTTCATCCCCAGTCAGCAGTATTGGTGCCGTCGATCCGGATTCACACATCCTTCTGGACTCTAAAGTTGAAGGTGTACAATTGCTTAGGAAGGAGAACGGCCTTGATTGGGCCAGCATCTACTACTATTCGCAGAGGAGAAATTGCAGGAAATAGAAGGTGAGGGATGCAGGGCTTCTCGTGGTGTGGATTGAACTTCAAAGTTCAAAGTTCTTGAAGGGGGCTGACCATCAGCTGAGTGGTTCCTAGTGCCATGTTTTTCATTTCATTCTACATCTACCTTCACCGCAAAGAACATGGCAGCTTCAAAGGAGGGTACTATCGAAACAATCTAGTGACCATTCTAATTTCCTTACGAGTTCCTTCACCGATACGGGACAAAGAATGACGATGGAAATCCCTCGCATGAAAGGAAATGCCAGACAGAATCCTCTTCTTCTTGAATGCATGCATGTTATTAGTTCGCCAAATTTGATTCGATAGTAAGCATGGACCTTGCCTGTTCAGAAATATTAGCCTTAGGTCATGTACAGTACGATCAACGTGGATATATCCGTCATGCACACGAAATGCTATTAAAGATTGGAAGCGACAGCTGATAGAGGCAAAATTTAAAAGATTTGCAATCTTACGGACTTGATTTGTTTTGATATATTTAAAACATTGTGTACAGGATGTTGTTGGTGTTAAACCCTCTCCGCATTTCCTAACAGAGAAATGCTGTGAAGAAATGCTGAGATTAAGTTACAAAAGAGGGAACAAAAATCATTTCCTCATCTGTCAGTAATCGACTAAAGCACACTCCATCGTGGCTCTCACCCGTCAACAAAGGCGTTGGAAAAAGAGGCCTAGACTAATACTAAAATACAGATTTCCTTGCTAGCTCAACACCTTCAGACGACGTCCCAGAAGCAGCCATTCGCTTCTGAGAAGAGGATCCTGCCCGACCTGTGTACTACACAAGTCCTAGTGTGTTGTTGCATGGTATACAGATGTATTCCCAGGCATAGACACTAGAAAATGTTATGGCTCATTGGGTGGAAGTTCAAGCCTACGGAAACAGCCTCTTGACAAGAGATGCCTCTCTTCTCTTTGAATTTCTGTGATATTCTTTCAATCCCTCTGTGGACATGAAGCTAGGCTTACCCGGTTGTTTCTCTGCGTATAATGAACAGAGAGCTTCTCCTGCGACATTCCATACGAAAGAAAGCCTGGGTGCCTCTCTATCGAGTTTCTCTACAGCTGATGCGTACACCACTGCATAGATTGCAGAGGCTTCCTCCAGTACTTGGTGCGGGTCCTTCAGACCTAGCCTCCTGCAGTCCTTATACGACGAGGCACCTCCATACAATATCTGAGAGATAAGGCAGAAGCATTAGAAACAACATAACATCACAAACACAAAACATAATTCGTTCGAGTCCTGAAGTGATCGCCGTGACAGTACCTTCCTGTACTTGAGGTAGATTTGATCTGAAGACGGTCTGTCCGTCCCTTCTTTTCCAAGGTGACTGGCTGATACCATCTTACTCATTTCTGGCTTGTATGATCTGAAGTGCTTCGCCCAGACTTGATAATGTTGTTCATAATTCTCTACCACAAAGGCTTCATCAAGCTCGAAGTTTTCTGCAGAGATCCAAGTGAAATGCACAGTCAGCTCCTACAGATTGCACCGTCTCGTTCATGTGACAACCTGGTTCTATACTTCCTATCCACGCGACGTTCAGTTTCAACGCAAATCAAATCCTTTTCGAGTTCAAGAGATTAATCCCTCCCTCCTTCAAAGAGCTGGTTGGTGGGACAGTCCACTCCAGATATTGATGGGAAGATCAACACTTGACATACAGTCGACACGAGAAGTTTAGAAAGTTCGTTGTGTAAATCGAGGAAGCTGAGGAATAAAAAACATCACAGGAACAGACTCGACGGATAACCAATCCTCTAAAAGCGCGAAAAGACACTGGGGGTAGTTGGGTGCACGCAGGCGGAGGGGAGGTGCAATGTTGTAAAATCACGGAGGGTTAATTGGTACTTTTGAAAGGAGAGATACATAAATATCTTCCACCAAATTAATGTCCAAACTTCACTACTGCAGACCGTTAGGCAGCAGAGCATAAGTGTTAAGATGTTCTACAAACTAGACCGAAACTTTTTACAATACCGTCACCTCACCATAGCTGGGAGAAGACATGAGCTCTTGCGATTTGGCCAGGTCGTAAATTTGACCTGCAATTGACTTTGAGTGGTACATTTTTTCTCCAGGAACGTTCATATAGTGAGGGGTTCTGGGACACGGCAAGTTCCCCTTGGGAAAGTCCACCTGAATAAAAATTCATATAGATGGATCAGTCCGTACGTGTGGAGGTCCGTCCATGACAAGATCAGCCATCTTCTGAGAAGACAAAGCGTGAACCTAAGTTTATCGTTATCCAGCTATATCCAAATGACGTACAGCTGAGATTGAATGTCTACGATTCTTAACACATGTCTGGCGATGTTATCAAAACACAATATAAGCAGAATGGGTATCAGGTACTGACAGTGTATCCGGCTTTTGACGCATCCAAAGCGTTATAATACACCGGTGTAAACTTCATCGCCGCGCCAAAATGCAGAGCCTTCTTGTCGGCAGTATCTGAATGCAGAAACTGGTCCATGTGCTTGAGCCACAAGTTGGCTATTTTTCCGACTAGGGACCTGAGTAGGATAAAGAAAAGTAAGCCAGAAATTTCAAATCTGGCTCTAATACAAATAACAAAAGCATTATGATCAACCTAACTTTCTGAGAGCTAAACAATTCTGCATTCAACCTGTTTTGAAAGAAGTTCCAATTGATTAGCTTTTAAGACTGCCAGAAGACACGACCAAAACCATCGACCAGTTAGCTCCAATATGAGACCTTACGTCGAACTAAAACGGGCTTTCATGTACTCTTTGAAAAGTGTTTCTTCGAGTTCATCCGGTAACAGGTCTGCTGGTTTAAGCATCTTAGGAACAGTCGTACTAGGAAGCTTTGCCCACCTAGATGGATACTCCTTGAATAAAGAAACCAACTGCAGATCATGAAACATCTCATCAGGTTGACTGAAAAGCTCATTACCTTGGCACTGATTTGCACTCCTGCTACACTGATACACAAAATCTACCTCACTAAGCTTTCGGAAAGCCACAAGCCTCTTCTACTCAACTCCAAAATAACAAAAAAGTCCAACAGCATTCCCAGTTTTACTCCTTTTTTGGATCACTACATATTTCAGCGTTCTTTGGTATATGTGAGTCTTGAGAGAAAAGAACTACCTGAGTATTCTTGCAAACCCAGTAACGATCACCATCAAGGTCGCCTTTTCCGATCTCTTCGGCAATCGGCCGAGGACCCTGTGTCGAGAAATAAATAACATACTTCCCACTTCCGATTACTTTCTGGAGAACCGAATTGCATGTGGCTTCAAAAACATGAATATCACCAGGGTGTTTTCCAGGAGCTCTGTACACGAGAAGTTTCGGACAGTACACAGGACCATCTGACCTGCAAAGTATAGTGGGCATGAAGCACTACAATCAGTTAACATTTAAGCCTCGACTATATTGACGAATCATACAGTCTCGCCAGTAAAAGACCAAACACGTCATTACAAGTGTTTCTTCCATCAAGGAGAATGCAGTTCCTTGATGGAAGAATAAAATAAAACTTACAAGACGATAGCCACTTGATTCCTCTTCAAAGTCCCAGTCGGATCTGCTGTTCCCATCAAGTAAAATGACTCTGGAAGATTAACTTTTCCTGTCGTAAAATCTTCCAGTTTCCGTTTTACGATGTCCAGAAGACTTCTATGTAAGAAGGGCTCGGTAAGGGGAATACGAGCATTTATCATCATCAAAAGAATCTCTGTTTTCTCGGTTTCCCATTCAAGCACCTCTGCAAATGAAGGATGTAATTAGACCAGGAATGTCACAGCTAAACATCTCCGTACCTAACAATTTTGCAGTATCAAGACTTTAGGGAAACTGGAATATTTAGCTTATGAAGAAACTCTAAGAAAGTCTAGGGTGTACGTACCGTTCATGGCAACATTGTAATCTGAAAAGATCAAATGATTGTCTTCTATGGCAGCTTTCACAAGGTCAATGAAAAAGGATCCAGGGACCCCGCATGTTGTGAGCAGTATTATGAGGTCTCGGGAAAGTTTCGCGGTATAAACGCCTTGCAACTTCCTTGGTTTCTGGCTGTTCCATGAGCAGATCATAATGTTCAAAGCAGTGTAGAACCTACCCTATTGCAACAAATATCAGCAAATAATATCACATCAGGTCTCCGGTCCCTAGTCCAGGACAGACAAAGTACATGTACAGTATTTTCAGTGAACAAGTCTGCAATAAGACTCGAAGAGAAAATTCAAGCAGTAGGAAATTTCAAACCTTGTACTGACAATTTCAAGCGATTTGACTGAAGGAAGTAGAACTTCATCATCACGCCCCACTTTTTTCATGGACTTATACAGTTTGATGGTGTTTGGAGGTAACTGCAGGATGCAGACATCTCATAAGCTTCCGATTGAAATCATTAAAAATTGAAATTAAAACAGATCACGATTTTAGCTTTGCATGTCCGTAAAATTTGTCAATGAATGTCCTTACAGCTTCACTTGCGAGAAGTGTTCCTTTATAAGCAGCACCTTCATAAAGGACTCGGACTTGGCTCAGTGAGGGATAGTCCTGTATGTGTCACGGGCATGTTACTAATCAGCAATAGTGGATACTTTGTCTGATACTTGACTGTAACTGAGAATGGAATGCAATCTTTCCACATAAAGGCTGCGATTCTTGAAGTTACTCACCTCATTTCTATCAGGCTCTGTCTTTTGCCTTCCGTTCAAGATACTGGTAGGGATAATTCGAGCCAGATTTGTTGATATAAATCCCGTACCGTCGGTGGATATCCCGTCCTGTGAGAAATTCAATATCATGACATCTCCAACAATATATAAACATAAGCCACCTAAGTTTCTACTCGACATACATCCCAAGAGAGCGCACCTGGCATTGCAAATCCATTTTTTCTCTAACCACGACTTTCGTCCAATCCAGATCAATGGTCATTGTCTTTGATAGGATAAGCTGCATTCTGTACATGTACAAACAATAAAACTGTAGTTATAAGTGCAGGTGGCCACTATAAAATAAAGCAAATAGGAGATAAGTTGGTAGGTATTTCATCATGTTAGTTTTCTTGGTGAGACTGACGTTTATGATGAATATCGTTTGAGAAGAGAGAAAGTCAACCTGGCGATAAACTTCGCTATGCTTTCAGTTTGGTGGATGTGCATGAACAAGGTCCGTGCTTCAGCTATGGAGTTGAACCGTCTGAAGTATGGGTTCCTTAGATCCACCTCTCCCCTTGAATCGGTGCAAACGAAGAAGCATTTCACATTACCTGTCATGATTGTGAAAAAAACTTGAACGTCTAACGATGCCGAAATCGATAAGGCGAGTTCCCCCTATGCCTATGTAAATGAGTAGATCATAAGACTTTGATCAATTCATGCAAAAGGAACGCCAGATTTTATTAAAGTTCCTTTCTCGTACCTTCCATTTTCTTCTCAAATTTATCTGAAGCTTTGTGGGCTGCACGGGTCAACAAAATACATCCGAACACGTGTGAGAGGCTCAGCAGACGAAACTCAGTTGTCCACTTTAAAGTGAAAGAAAGAGTAATCAGATACAGAGGAGAAACTTTCACTCACCAAAGTATTGATATCGTCTACAACCGACGAAGATACCATTCTTCGCGAGCCGGCAATACATAGAGTACTGGTCTTGACTAAGTGGGACTCTCTTCCCATCTTCCACTTCCGCCTCAAACGCTACTTTGAGCACTTTGTCAAAACCAAGCGTGCGGTGAACTAGGGACTTCGCCTGTTTTTTCTCATCGACTAGCTACACTCCACAGAAGTATATATTTAGTCGCAAGTGTATTGTGATCAATAAAACCTCCTGACTCAATTACAAGCCGATCGATTGAACTCTTGTTTTGTTCGTGTATTTAGAGCTCGCTTACCTCAAATAAAATTTGTCCCGTTGGTTTGATTCGACAAGTGTAGTTGCTTGTATCCGGCTGAAATCTCTGGAGTACAAGCAGAGTGAATAATATGATTTGACAAGAAACTGAAGCAGGGATTGCAGAAAGAGATGCCGATGCACTTTCCTAACATTGTGAAGATGATCAATGCAACAAGCCCATCCGCGAAATAGAATTACTGAACAGCGTATGTCATAACTACTAAATCTTGCGACTCACTTTTGGTGGGACACCTGGAGTGCTCCAGCCTTTCAACCCATCCATGTACCAAAGATACTGACAGACTCCTTCTTTCGGTTGGGTACCTATAGAGCGAAGCTCATCCAAAGTGAATGCCTTTTCTAGAGGCTTTCTGCAATATTCAACAAGAGGAGTAAGGTACATCAAGACAGATAAACACATATGTTTAGACTATCAGAGGACATACATTCCTCTAAGGTAAAGGACTGTCATCGAAATTGAAGGACAAATTTAGCAACTACAGCTAAGAGGAGGCTCGTAGACATCGCGTAATTTCACTCGTAAGTTTGAGTACATACCCTCTCAAACTTGTCAGTATTGGAAAGACTTGCGTCGAGAAATCAAGAGTTCCGAGATAATGCAAGTGTTCTGTTAGCTGTGGCCACTCCACTGATGAGCCTGGGAGGTCCTTTCTGTCGTCAAGAATTGGTTCATCCATACGTTTTTGAAAAGGTTCTTGAAAACTTGGTTTGACAAATGCATCAAGGGTCGGAACTCCTGAAGTCTCTGCACACAAGCGGGAGTGCAGCAGTCACGATATCGTGGATCCAACAAAGTTAGAAGAATGTGGGGCCTTGGCTGCTATCTGTCACTTAATAGTTCTATAATCTAGTGTATAAAGATGGAACTCACGTTCTTAGATTACCAGATACCAGATGTTCGGGAAAAGCTTCAGAAACAGGCATCACGGCAACAGGAGCACCTCGAATTCAGGAGATGACTCTTGAAAATCTCTTGAGATCTGCCAATATAAGATTGCACCCATGCCTGCCAAAGCCATTGAAACTTTGAATTCACGAATGGGATGGACTGTGCAAGTACCGCGGGGGATTTAGAGATGTCAATTTAACAAGTGTATTCTGTGGGGGATCTTAGAGGTAGTGATAGTACTCACTTCATGACACTACCTGACCAGTAAAAGAGAGGCTACGAAGGACGCTGAAAGTCCCAACGTCAGAAGAACCGAACCCATGCATGGATGTAAAGAACAGGCAGCTAAAGAGATTTACCTAATACAACTTGAGGGGCGTGATTCTCCGGCCTGAATTCCTCTTCTAAGCTCTGATCGATGAGCTCATCTAAGGAGCTCCAAGGCATTTTGACACCGTGTAGTACTCCGGCCCCCACACTTCTTCTTCCGCACTGTGTGTACTTTCCAGGCTCCGGGGGAGAGACGGACTCCATTCCATACATAGATCTTACAAACCGATCGTCCCCGAGCAACCCTGTCGATGAAACGGGCTCGCTCTTTTCAGACGAATTACGCGGAAAGGAAGATAGAACGCATGGTGCTGCGTTTTCGTTGATGGTTTCTTGGACACAATAGCCCGTACTTGGAGCGTATTTCCTGGGCAAATTCGAGCCTGGACTGAACAGATAGCTTGCGCTTCCAATTGGACCGGCTACCGTCTTCACCGCCCTCTTTGGAACTCCAGAACTAACAGAAGTGCCATCCCTTAGCTCGTAGTGAATGTCGGCAGATAAGCTCGAATTGGAGCGCACTTGTGAAATTCCAAACTGCATAGTGGGGCCATTTGAACCGTAATTTCCATCACGTGCCCCTGGTAGAAGAATGTCACTGGAAGCATTTGCAATACCGTCGCGGTGAACCCCATTCAAGAAGGTGTGCCTGTCAGCTGGAAGTGAACCCTTCAAAGACCGTACAGGGCCTACATTCGAGCTGTGATTCGTAGACAATCCACCTGATGGATGCTTTGAGTTGCATTGATTCAAATTGCGACCGTGGGTGTCTTGAATTCGTGGGTAAGGAGGCTCTTGCGGAGAGGTATTCCGACTCCTACAGCCGTGCTGCGTCACATGAAACGGAGACCGCTCGGCCACTTGGCAATTCTGATTCATGGGAGCTGACGCAAATCCGGGTTCCACTCTCTCGACTGAGGAATTCGGTCCACCGTGCCAAGAGTGCGTGTCCGGTGAGCTTGCCCAGCTGATGGCGGCCTGTGTAAGCACACCTGCGGGAGAGTGTCCCCTCGCATCATTGTAACTCTTAATCCGCTTGGCCGGCGACGCATACGATTCTGGACTGAAGTTGCCGAGAGAGGAGAGAGCAAGTCCAGCCGGACATTCCCTGTCCATAGACACAGCTTGTGACGCTATGCTGGACAGAGGTGGATATATTGAGAGGTTGGCCAATCCAACATTCTCAGCGGTGCAATCTGCCGACGAGCAAACCTCTGGCTCTTCACTGCAGTCTTCAAAAGTATCCTCCGAGCTACTCGCAATGTCTTCTTCAGCATCTTCCCTCGACAAGGTCTCACTGCTCTCGCTGCTATCACTCTCCACTTTTCTTCTCGAAGTGAAGGACATAAAGCTCCACATTTCCGTTGCCAGGGAAGCACCGATCTCTAATCGAGAAAATAGATAGATTCCTAATGTCATAAATTCAGCTATTAATAAACCCCAACAATTATAATAATGCCAAAGTGGACGAAGAGGGAACAGAGGCTCCTGTTGCCATGGGCCACGGCGCGCTCACTGACTCTGGAGCGATTCAGCAGGTACTCTTGCTAACCCGAACAGCAGAGTCTTCTGGCGCTCGTTGCCACTGCAACACGGGCTCTGGCATTATAAACAGGAAGGAGGCTCACAGAAGTCCATCATGACTTCGATATCTATTTTGATCAACATCAAGAATCAGCTGCAGCCGTAGGTCTTTTCTTTGGTGCGGGTAGAATGACGATCTTCAGAAGTCAAAGCACGCAATGGGAAAATCGACTCAATTCTGGTCTTTTGGCCTCGTAGGGACGCCCTTCTCTTGTGTCCGCGAAAGCAGAGCTGGATGGCATGCACTCCAGAGGCCTGGCCACTGTCAAACAAACTCGCGAACTCATCGTTCCGGTCTTCCGCCACTCTCCATCGGTGGAACTTCATCCGCTGTTCAGAATTCCTTGCACCCGAATTCCTCCACTGCTCCAGCACGTAAACACACCACAAACGTTTCACCGACGGGGAACTGATGCAGAAATCAGTGCATGATGAGAAGAACCTCAGCACCCAGGCGAAGGACCACGGATTGTGCGTACGAATTATGCGCGCTGTGCAGACAAGCGCTAGGAACAGGTTGTAATTCCGAACACAGAACAATTGCACACGGGCAAGTTTGAGAAATCAAGATCGTACAGCACCCTCGACAGTCTGTCCAATCGGACCAGGTTCAGACAGCATGCTGCTCGAGATGTCCGCAGCCTTCAGAATTAGGAGTCCGCGCTCGGACACGCGACGAAAGAGGAAGATGGAATCTGGATCTGTCTCTGTGAAAAGTACGTTCGCCAGTCAATCGATGCTTATCCTGCCGCCGAATTGACCGAACAGTGCAGAGACTCGTGAACGACTCGAGGAGCCTCATGCAGCGACTCAGTGGTCCCCCCACCCTTCCCTCACTCCTCCAGTAGAGCTGGAAATAGCGGCCCTGCAGTCTTCACTGACCCCTCTACTTTGGCCCAACTTTCCTTGCAAGCTTCTCCATTACGCTTCCGTGAATGGAAATCTGGAACCGAATCATGAGGAGGAGTGGAGCGTGAATGGACTGTTGGGTATCATCCTCTTTTGCCACGGGTGTACCCGATCTTTCATTATCGGGTATACAATGTAGAATATATAAAGATTTATGATTTATGATTGATCTACACTTTCAACATCCACTACATTCACTCTCCTTGGAACGCTAATGTACACCTAATCTGGCCATTTATTCAATTCTAATTAGATTTTGTTCAAAGCAAAGATGCATCTCGATTTTCGCCCTGTGACACGCATTGTTCACTACATTGTTTTCCTCGCTCGCCTTTATGTGGCATATCAATCCAAACCTTTATTACTTTAACTGTGATTGAGAAATACACTTGATGCAACAACTTTGTAAATATATAAAAGACTATCTTTGATACACTTATTGGTCTATGACTGGGTCCATCCATTTACATTTGGCTTCTTACATCCGTGGTTTTCCATTTCATACTTGAAATAGTTCGAAGAGTAAATGGTCCGATAAAAACCAAATTATAAAAGTTATTCTGTTTCCTCATTTTTAAGGGTAATGATGACCAATGTTGCACATGATCTCCATGATTAGTCGTTTGAGAACTATAATCGCATAATTTTACCTATGAAATGATTACATTTCTGTTATATTTGCGTGAATGATTGACCAGCATAAAGATATCAATATTTATGATTTATAGTCATTTTACTTAATAAATAATAATAATAAGAAAACACTGGAGAAATTAGATAGAAATTATTATAATTAGACAAAAAAAATCATGGAGTATAAAATATTTGAATTTTTAGTATGAAAGTTTTTTGTTGAAAATGAAAACTTTAATCAAGTAACCCAGCCACAAGCAACTCACACACATAACAACAACTCAAACAAAAATGGACTTCAAGAGTCGTAATATCTAACCAGTTTTTATTTTCTATGAATTAGTCATGTGAAATTAATAGGATAGTACAAGAGTGTTGGGGAATCGTGTCGTTCGTTGGGATTTAACTCGTGTTTGAGGTAAATTCTGGGTTAGCAAACTGCAGTTAGGTGTCAGGTTAGTTGTTAAACCCCGTTTCACTTCCGTTGTTTTTCCTGGAGAACATTATTATAACATTACTTCTTCCATATAACATGCTCGTGTATTGATATTCGTTGTTCTCATTATTAATATAATTTTTTCTATTTCAATCCAATGGATCATTATATTTGATAAAATTCAACGAGTAAAAAAATAATTTTAAATAATTTCTTGATTAGTTGTATAGCTTAGTCTCTTCCATTTTAATTTTAAATCTAAATTCAATAGAACTTTAATATTTAAATCAATTCATAACAATAGCAGTCAACACCAAGTGAATATTTTATTTTCAAATTCATATGTTACCAACTACAGCATATCAATATCCGTTTTGATCTACATATTGATCACTGTCACATCTACATCTGTATTTCCCACCATCAAATGTTGTTATCATTGTTGACATATAATGTGATCATTCCTCTATTTTTCAATTTGAAATTCACTCTCATGAATATACTATGTTTATTAACCATTATCTTTGTAACTATTTTTGTATCAATCATCTTCATGATTCTATATTTTAATTTTTTGTATATATATAGGGTCTTGCAGTTATATGTCTAAATGCATCTTGGAGAGCTTTGCAAACATGAATAACTTTGTTCACAATGATTTTTTTTATACCGGTTTTTGATTTTTCAGTTTCATTTTTGTATTTATCATGTATCAAATTATGTTACAATAATATGTATAGTAATTTTATATATGAATATGAAACTCAAAGCTTTCAAAAAAATACTTTTTTTTTTTAAGTTGTTGTCATACCTTAACAAAATCGAGCGACGTTTTTTTTTTGAGAAATAATGAAAAAACTAGATTATCTATAAGCCATAATCATATAATTGTTATATTATCTATTACAGATTGATACAAAAATTGGTTGAAAATTATAAAAAACTGAAAATTTGAAAAAAAATAATTATTTTATTGAAACTTTACAATTTATCTTTATGTTAAGTATTTTTTAATATAAAAAATGAAAGTCATTTACTTCATATTTTTAAATAAATTTATACAAGTAAAATTTATTTTTAATGATATATATTAAATTATTTATAACTAAATTCCTCAAATTATATCATTGTTGTTCATGTATTATGATGATATCACTTTTTTTTAAATTAAAATTTCAAAATCTACACCAAATATATTTCATTATAATCTTTCAAAGTAAAACATTATGATGTTTGTATAATAAATAAACATTTATTATTAAAATGTTTTTATTTATCATGAATCAATCAATCAAGTGGAAATTGAAGCAGCCATAGTCAATGATTTAAGTTCAAAATTGTAATCTTATCACTTTGAATTTCTTATTCCTTATAATCTTTACTAATTGAAATTTATTATTTCTATTTATTTTAACCCGGATTTCCGAATCTTCCTAGGTTCAGGATTTTTCGATACCAATCAGATAGCAGGAGAGATGTAACTCGCCTCGAACATTGCTTTCTAGGTTACACGTAAAATCTCATATGCCTTTGGATGTAGTACAACATAGTCGAACCACGTACATCTTGTTTACTTAGACTTTCTTGTGAATTTTTTGTTGCAAAATAAATGGATTAAAATAATTTAAAAATATTATTTGAAATTAGATAAAATCATTTCCATTAAATTTGGGTATGTAAGGAAAAAAATTCATAATTTGTCATATTTTATGTCAAATTATTACTTTTCAGCTTTAAATATAGCATACTTTTAAATTAATAGAATGAAATATCACTAAAGTGAGATAAAAAATAGTGTCATACAAATCATATAAATATTAACAAATTACATCATTTATACAAAAAATTCATGAATTTTTTTATTTTATGACATTTAGCTATATTTTTTTGGAATTTTTAATATCAAATGAAGAAATATTTTTTCGTATTTTTTCCATATGATTTATACTATATTTTACAGAGAATCATGGTAATTGAAATATTTAATATTTAAAATTATTGATAATTTTAAAATTTTAGGAAGTAATCACTATATATGATTAGTTTTTCTAATTATGATCTTAAACATTAGCTATTGACTATATATCAGATTTCATACACGTGGACTCATGTCTTTCATTCATATTCTTTTGTTGATCTTGTACTTCATTATTGAAAACAATCTAGAAAACATCATTTCAGGTTGCAAAGATTAATTCTTGTTTTATCAATCAAAATTTAATAAATATTACATTCTTAATGTATTTCATGATGCTAGTCTTTTGACATCAACTTTTAAAAACTCTATTACAACATACATTGTTCGCTTCTTCATCAAATCTTAGAAGGAAAAGTCAAAATATTAACAACAATAAATCATGCTTCACTTGACATTTTATGTGTGATATATTTCGAAGTTGACTCTTATGACAATAATGAAGAGTTTGTCTACTAAACGATATATTTATGTTTTTATTTATAAAGTGTATACGCAACGTAATAAATCCCAATTCTCAATCTCTCTATTAGTTGGCTAAAAAACTTGACTTGGCAAAACATTGAACATAAAATGATGTACTTAATCAAACATATACAATTTTTAAATGATGTTTTCCCTCAAAGTTTAATCTTTTAGGTACTTTAGATAGTGTAACTTATTCAATGCGCTTCACGCTTTAGAACGGATTTGTATTTTCTTTATATTTTCTATATGCTTCTCTCTTACTTGTTTGTATATTATGTATTTAAATACATCAAATAAGTCTTGATTTTTTTATTAATTTTATATGTAAAATAAAATACCATGAATAAAAATTCATTATATGACCGAAAAATATATATTTATGATAGATTTGTGGTACTTCTAAATCTTCAAGTTGATCTCTCATACTATATCAAGTACTAAATATACTCATTTATCCAAAACATTTACTTTGTCAATATGCAGAGCTAACAGTTGGTTAAACTCAACATTTAATGTCAATGAATCACTATCTGAGGAGCTAGGAATTTTAGTTAGCGGGTTGACATTATTTTCTAAGTGGAATCAACATAGTAAATGTGAGAGAGTGGCGCATGACTACTTCTATCCACGTGGGTAACCTCCAATCCTGTCTTCGACTATGGTCGATTGTGTCCCGCTACTCAGCCGATAGAAACATAGAATCCGGTGACGAGGACAATGCTTCGTCTGGTTGGGATTCTGAGACATACAATCTTTGTGGCGTGAAACTAGGATCTCAGCTCCATGGAAAGCTACTACTAGGAATGCAGGCAGAGATTCCCAAGATATGCCCGGCGTACACACGTTCGCTGTAAATGCAAAATTTGATAATTTATAGAAAGGTCTATGTATGGAACCAAAAGCCTGCATTTACTTCAGTAAGAAATCGGTGAGCTTGGCGGTAAATCAGCAGCGTGGGTCTCTGCTTCCCAATCACACTTTCCAGCATGTAAACTCAGATACCCGCCTTGACGGTCGAGGCAAACTTGCACTCATTTCACTTCAATTAAGGGAGTGATAGAACGCGATATTGAAACGCCTTCGATAATACTCTTCTCTCCGATCTGGCCTTGAAATTATCAAGACGTTGCCTTACATACACTGCCCTTCTGCTTGCCCATTGGCATCGTCATCATCAGCACCAGTTCGTCCGTTTTTCAGAATCTGCCAATCAGACCTCAAAACTTGGAGACGCTGCTTGCTGAACTGAAATATATGACACCAAAAGAACAGATTTAGAGGCGTGAAGCTCATCACTGGCAGGAATGTCATTGCTCAAATGTCGCGGGATTCCAATTGGTAAAGAGTCATCTTACATTGTTTCTGGCGGGATTGAAAAATGCTCTCAAGGCTTATTTCAGCCAATTCCATTCCAATTCAGCTCCAATGAACTGGTGGGTGCACAAAACCATAGTCGACAATGTGGAGGATGATTTCATACTTTTCTTCGACAAAGGTCCTCAGGTCGAGAAAACAATATGAATACGACAATCGTTCATCAACTACACCTAGCCTGAGGTCTCAATTTGCACCAAAGGATTCTCACAGAAAATTGTCCATCAAAACACAGCATTGGCTGAAAAATGTGGGCTCACAATGCCGTACTTTCCTAACAGATAAAGGTTTCTTATTTGTACACTAGCAGATGATGTACAGGATAGCTTCTGAGTTCTATCAATGCAGCTGATCTGTAATGTTGCTCTTACCATCCGCAATGAAAGTAAGTTTGCACTACGCTTTCTTCCGTCAGCTCTTCTATCCTAGTACACAAAATTGGAGCAAAATCTATCTACCTTTCGTCCCTTGATTTCAAGATGCTATACTGATCGCGATGGATGAAACTCTCTCTTAAGGAGCAGTAGTAGCGGCTACGCCAGTTGAAAGTACGGTGGAAGTCAGCCACACGAATCTGAAAACGATGACTCGTCTTCATGAGGAAGCTTTGCATCGTGTACTTGGCCCCGAGGCACAGGAACTTCATTGGAACATCTTTGAGGAAACCTGCCAGGAGAAGTAAGTCTGCATCCAACAACTCTTGGAATTGAGATCCGTCGTCTCAGATCGCAATAAGATTTGTCCAAATGATCAGTGTCTCTCTTGAGCACGCCGTTGCTCAACCGTGTAGCACAATACTCGTTCATCTGGAGAACGTGCAGAACCTCTTTAACGTTATCCACATCAGCTGCCAATATCAGATTTGGAAGTGCATGCTTCCTTGCTGCTGGGGTTGACTAAGAATGAGACTGTATACACGCTAATTTGACGAAAACTGTCAGTTTCCAGATTTCAAATACTAGAGCTGGATGTCAAATGTAAGAAGTTTCCAAGCAAGAAACGCATGTGCTATTATTCATAGTCCTTGATCCACCTTCAGTATATCTGTCGATGATTCGGAGCAATTCGTTATCCAACTTCAGTATACCAACGAATAGAAAGACAAAGTTGTTGCACATCATTCCACGTGGTTGAGCATGAACTAAGTTCATGCTCAACCATGAATCAGTGATATCGAAGGTACGAACATCGCTTGATCGCTCTCGTTCGTGCACCAAACTTACGCTTCTAGTGCATCTTTCGATGGTTCAGAGTTTTGTTTTCCCAACTAGAGACTCTAAAGCTCTGACAGGTATTTCTACGATTCTTGTGCTTACATCTTGATCCAAGGACCGGAAAGACGTGAAATAATTGACTAATTCTAGAACAAAGCGCTGTATATATTCAGATGCATTTGATTCAACAGCGATGCAGTTGTTGTTTACAGAAAGAAAATTCCTGAAACATCTGGACATACCATAGCAGTAGTTCGCATCCACAGCTTCTAGTTGGCAACAACCGGTGCGCTCAAACCAGGTCATTTTGAGCGCTGGTGACTTGATGTACACGAGGAACTTGACGGCCTCCGGAAATAGAACAAGAGAAGTAATGTTCAGAGATAAAGAGAGCATGTCGAAAGACGAAAGCTCTCTTTCTCTCTAAACATGACCTCTCTTACACTACTGGGTTGCTTTCTCACCAAATCAACACGAAAACGGCCTACGAGCTGTTGAGGAGCCATCGAGCAACGTCGAGCATCCGAGAAAATCACACACCTCAGTGACCAAAGTTATAACAAAGTCATTAACAAGGAATGCATCGCAAGTAACTATGCATCCAGTGGTGATGACCATGACGGTAATCTCCAGCCTCAGTACATCATATGACAGTCTCGTCGTGTTTCTCTCACGTTTTCTGCTCCCCACGTATGAAAAAAGCCCCACAGCGTTAGCAGCAACTCGGGCCTTTGTTAAGTCTAGAACATCTTCTCTACAAGCATGTCTGTGAATAGTATAAGTGGCGCACATTAACTTGTGGCCACATGAAACAAAAAAAAATAGAAGCAAATTGTCACAGCGGCCTTTACTAGCGCCCCTAGAAGCCATGCGACCTATGAGTAGACCACGTGAATTGTTATATATATAGTTCTGACTGGAAGAATTTCTGTGTTAGTGTTTACTTGACCTGTGACCTTGCAAATATAATGCATGAGAACCGTAAGCCGGGCACAAGATTTCTGACAAGGGCTTACCAATTTGCAGCAACCCAATATATCGCGTTGTGAGATCCAGGCACTGATTTGAGTAAGCCTTTATACCTTCTAACAAATAGTTGGTCCCCCTACACATTTAGACCTTATATCCAATTTTGGTACCCTCTAGATGACAAGGCTTCCTGACTCCTGACCAGTTCTTATCGTCAGGAATGAGCTTCGTATGATAGGACCTTACTAATCTGATCCAGCATTCATCTTCTACAAAAAATCTCCACTGTCATCGATTATGCACGGCACTTGTGGAGGAGATAGTCACCAAGAAGAGCAATCGGGTGTGAAATTCGGCCTCTTACAAACGGGGAACTTTTTCTGAAAATAAGGATATACATCTACACCTTACATGAACAGCACAATTCTCAGCCACGGTACTCCAACGCTACTCTGATTTCTAGTCCTAGAATTTATTTACCAGAAGCAAGCAAGTGAGATCATCAAACAACCTGTCAAAGGTGCTTCGATCAGTCTCGTGCACGTGCATGCTAGATCGTTGGCGTCACTGTATCCACTTTCGAGACGTTCTAGGGCATGTTTTCTCATCACAACCAAGGAGAACTGCAAGACCTGTGGCATGCTCGAAGTAAATGGAGTGAGCGGAGAGCATGTGACTGGAATAATCTCGTGGCGTAGGTAATGAAAAATGCAAAGCGAGAATTATTGATCAAGCGACTTGTGCACAGGAGAATTCATGATCACTCAACATTTTCGAAGCGATAGTCTACATTCACCCTTCACACTTCACGATCACAGCTATCGCTACACGAGATAGAAGTCCAAGAAATTCAATATAGTTTCTGAATTCCCACGAGGTCAGAGATAGAAATGCAGTAAGGAGTTCACCGCGCTCCTTATAGCTCACAAACACAAGTGATTGCCATACACAATTGCCGGCCTGTTCTCGGCTTAGTGGAAATCATTGTGCTCGCGCTTCTGACTTTCCAGCCATGCGCCTCATCCAATATCACGCAAGCACGAATTCCTCATGCACAACAACTTTTCCAGATCCTCGAGGAGTTTGACATCAAGTTGCACCATCGGGAGTATCCATACAACAGTGGATATTCTCCATTCGATTCATTCTGCAGAAGACATGAGCATAAACCCTGCAAGATGTCCAGCAAGCAAGAATCCATGGTGTTTCGCATGAAGAACCGAGTCAAAGCTACTCATCGCAAGCATTGAGATGGAAACATTCGTTCAGTCATTTCCACAACTGTACCGGACAATACCCACCCTGTACAAGAGGCAGGGCCTCCGTCCTACCGAAGCAAGTCCCAGTCTTCAGCGCTGAGCCTTTGGATGCTTGCGTTAGAGTCACCGAGAGGAGTCAAGAGAATGCTCACACTTGGAGCTCGCAGCATCAATCTTCACATCCACAGCAATCACGGTGCATTTCCAAGACCCAAACGGGGTCTGCTTTCACGAGCAGCAGGCAGCAACTGGCGAAACTGTGAGGAACTAGAAAAATTTGTAGGACACTCTGGAGCAGGCAGATTCTACGTCGGATGAGAAGAAAAGAGGCGTTGGCCGTCATTGATCTTTGGATTTACTATCCTAGCCAAGCGCAAGTTCATTAATTCCGGATCCAAAATTCCTTGTGAACGGATATTCGAGTCAGAATTTTGGCATCCGGAAATGACAAGCTTGCACTTGGCCATAGTAAATCCAACTCTTTAACAGTAACTGCTCTTATCTAAAGATATAAAGGAATAAATTTCGAATCATGTGCTAAGAAATCGAAGCAATGTCTGACCATCAAGTCAACAGAGGGCGGACCGCCCTCGTCCCCCAGATCTCTGAAACTTTCTCGGTGCCGTAGAGTAACGAGCTGCTAGATTGCCGTTCAAGCTGCCTCTAGTGGCCGCAGCTGAGGTCACCGGGAATTCGACGCAGCCAGCCGGAACGGAAGCAACTATCATGAGGCCTACTCGTGTCAGGACGTGTGGTCTCGAAGATTCAGCAGGCTCAGAGTGAGCCGATTTCAGCCGACGAGCTGCAGCTGCGCACACCGACCGGAAACTTCGACAGCAGCCAGCGTTGCTGCCTGGGGCTTGAAATCCATGACTAAGCTCGCAGAACTCGCGAGGCGTGGTCTATCAGAATCCGATAGTGGGCAAACTGCATACAACCCGGACACCAATCTGACAAACTTGTACTCGAGCACGAGCCCGAGTGTGTCACCCCTGGGACCTCCAATTGCGTCACAAGCTACAGATTTGTCGTCACCTTGCGGGATTGCTGATTCTAGCCTTTCCGGACTGAACTGTACACGACCTGGTCCCGGCTCCAGTCATGTGGCGTTAGAGTGTGTCAGGTCGGGCCAACGTCGGAAGCTACGGGCCAAGCGCTCTGGGGCACAGATCTGGCACGAAATGTTGGATGGGCCCGTGTAACGAAAATGTTCAGGGAACCGAAAGTGGATATGCTTCGGGATCCGAATCTGGGGCCGGCACCCCGGAGGGATATCCTCCGAGATCCGCATCGGGCCACCAGCTCTTGCGGCTGTGATTCTGAAGTCAATCGCTGCGACGAACTGTTCTACACGTTTACACATGGACACAAGGCCTCGCCGAGGGTGGAATGTCCAAGCCCTGGCGTGGCCAGCTCTAGCTGCCGTTTGTTTTCATCTGAGAGTCACGTTTCGTAGTTTTGGCGAATCTGGCCATGGAATCCATGAAGGGACGTGCGTTTCGTTAGCCTACTTTCCACCCCATGCATCGATCGATGGATTGGATCACCATGTGAGAGAGAGGCATCTTGCTTGATATTATCCATCCATCCATGCATCCAACCAGGTATTTTCTGTTGGCACTCGGATCTTAAAAAGCTTCAAATGCATCGAGAATCCTGCAGTGCTGTGACAATGCATCGAGTCGAGGAACTCTGTCAAGAGAGGAAGGAAACACTACTCGGTGGATCCAGGTGCTTGCAACACCTGGAAAGCAGTGCATCCTGTTCTCCTGAGTCCTTCCCAGCTCATGAGAAGGAATTCTGTGTCGAAGTAATTGATTCCATCACTCGTGGTTTCTCATCGACCATTCCATGAATCAGCACAGGAAGAAGCAGAAGACTCTTTGGATCTCCACGGTGCTGCTCCTGTGGAGTAGACGCAATGATCTCGCCACTTTTGCATTCTCGGCCGATTGTCACTTTTGTTTAGAGTACAGTGGGTGCAAAAGAAGAGATAGATTGCTGTAATCTGATATCTACGCCTAGAGCCCTCGACGCGGGACTCAGATACCGGTGCGGCACTTGTTATATTCATATGATCTGAGCATAGTTTAATGTATTCCTCTTGACGCTACACAACGATTGTCGTCAACTGTTGAAAGATCTGGTGAAGAAACAAAAGTTCCATGCAGACCTTACATAGATTGTGTCGATGCACTGCATGGCCCATATGACTTCGAGTACCAGCTAACAATCATGTGGTCGGTCTTGGAGCTGCGAGTCGATAGCGACAGGACATGCACCATGCAGACCCCACAACTGGCCACCTCGATCACCACTCCTTCGAAATAGGGGAAGGGTGAGTAGACATGGAAAAGCTTCTCCTAATCCCGGAGAACTTGTGAAGTCGGTCTCTCGTACGCTTGCTACTGTTGTTGTAGTTTTCTGTGAGTTGTCCCTGGTTTGTGGTTCACTGTCGGTAACCATTTGTGTACACACCAGTGGCGAGTTGACCAACACAGGTCTCGACAAGGCAATCAGGCATTCCAATAGACCATCTGTGTTCACAGATTAGGAACATTCTCGTTACACTGTTCGTATTTGTTATTCGCTTTAAGGCACAAACGCGGATGGACTGTTGGAAATCCTTATTGCCTTGTAAGATTTGGCCTTGGGATCGGTAACAGGAAGGCACAAGTAGCTTAGAAGGCAGCAACTACTGTATTCTCTCAGCCCGTAGTGAGCGTTTCCTGTCAAAACCAACTCAAGAATACTTGTATCTTCAGGGCCTTGATCAGCGCAACATGAGTCTCACTCTCTCGCCCAGTGATGACCATGCTGTGATTTTTATCATCCAAGCCACTCGTCAAGCATATTCTAATTTCCATTCGGAGTACAATGCCTGGACCAATCTATTGCATGGGCATGAACATCGATTCCATTCCATTCCATACAATAGTTTACTTCAATAGAGAAAGACTAATCTGAACATGTTTCCTCAGCAAGATGAATTGATCTATCTATATTCCCTCGAGCAGGGCCAGAATCCGAAGCCTACCTGTTCCTTTGGGCTTTAGACGACGGAGCTAAGGCAAAATCTAAAAACGCTACCAATGTGATCGCAAGAGTGTTTAAAAAAATCGTCGATTTTAATTCCAGATGGCAATGTACATACCTGGAAACCCTCCTTCATCCCAGCCGTGACCTCCCTTGACACTTGCATTATCTGCCGGTCGGGTCTCCGCATACCTTACTCAAAATGACGAATGCTGACTTTGCGGCAAACTCCGAGAGAATGTGCTTGTGGACGGTAACCACGTGAACGCTGAGAATGTCCCCCAAAGTGGTAGGAGTGCGTGCTGCGTTACGTACTCGTTCATGATTCCAGTCTTCGAATAAAAAAGTGAAGCCCTTGCCACTGTGACCAGTTCCTTACAACCTGCACATATACAGTTCAAGTACGAGACTCCTGTATGCAAATTTCTCTGTCAGCCACCCCTTTCAACTGTTTTGTTCGCTTTAACTTTTTCCCTGTACTGTTTCCTGTGCACCGTCTTTCCGGAATTCCGTGGTCGGCAGCGTTCAACTGCCGACTCGGGCTTGACATGAATGGAATGATCCCAGGATCAAAACGGATATCCCGGCAAACACTGGGCTGGCTAAAGTGGGAAAGTCCATGTACCCATGCCGCAGATTATCATGACGAGCAACCACGCTATCCTCGTTTGTTGCCCATCCTATCAGTGCAGGATTAGCCTGCGGCTAGTGAAAGTCCACTTGCCTCGTGCATTATGTCTCCTTACCCTCTAGACGTCTTGAAGACTTTGGAGATGCGCATGAGCAGCGGAAGCACTCGAGATAATCACGTTCACGTATGCTTTGCGAGAATCAATGCCCTGACTAACAGGCTAGTAGTTAAGCATCTTACATGCGTGTTTCTCGCTACCCGTTCGACTGATCTGAATTCTTGTTCAGCTCAAGTATCTTCATTGAACCAGATTTCCGCTTCACAGTATTGCTACTCAGGGATCCTTTTCTGGGTGTTACTTTTAGCTCTTGCCCGGTCTTTGTGGCACTCTTCAAGGATGCACTAAAGTGGAACCGATCTATGATTCGGATACAGTGCGCATTTCAGCTCTATGACAGCACTCCTCGGTGCACGATCTATGACGAGCAACTCGGCATCAACCAAGTAATTCCAACTGTATTGGGGATTCCCTGTCAGCTCTCAGGGAAATATCCGGATTCCCTCCTCTCTCATCAGTGACTTCTGAAGAATCAATGAAAGAGCTCCTCAAGCTACAGCAGTTGCGACCTGTGGTGACAACAGAATGTTGGCAGTATTAGAACGATGCAATGACGCGAGATTCGAAGAGAGCACTCCCTACAACACCAATTGTAAAGATGCGGAATTGTATACAACGTATCGGCCTGTCCGTTGTATCTCCTTCAACAGAATGGCAAGTTTTGCAATCCTCATCCATGCCTATGTCCGTAGCTGGAGCTCGAGAAAAAACCCCAAGAAGACAGGGAAAAGACTGATCGCTTCTGCAGCTTCTTGTTGTAGATCGCATCGGTGGTATAGCAGCCATGGTGCATGAATGACTAAGAATATTTCTCAGACCATGAAGCACGTCTGACGAAAATCATGAGCAAAGCTGATCCTCTGTATGCCGCTCGCTCTGCGTGCAACAAATGAATGAATAATGGCAATGCAATTCTACTGGCCTTCATGAACTGATTGGCACCTGAAAGTTTATATTTAAAACAATGAGCAAATGTGGGTAGTTTAATTCAAAATTACTACACAGAAAAATTTGTAGAATATAGAAGTTCAAAGCTAAATTCTTGCTTCAAATTACTACCAATCAGATTATCTCTATAAAAAATAACATTTGCATCAGAAGATTTATTTCCTAACATTTTTCAACCTATTGTTTTTACTTGAATCATTGATTTAGGGTTAATTGTGAGTTTACAAGACTCTATAGTCACTATATGGTTAAACTTTTTACTAAGTAAATCATAATTTGATCTCACTATATTCTTTCACAGTTATCAATCAATTTTTAAAAAACTCAAATCTTCCTTTCAAAAATAGGGAAAAAATTATTCTAGATAATTTAATATACAGGAATTTTTATTTTTTTCACAATGACTTTCTGCATTTTAAAAGAATGGGGGTTTTATTTGTTTTATTGAATGTAAATTGACGTTATCAAAGAAAAAAACTTATGTGAAGTTTCTATTGAGAATGATTTGAAAGTATTAGAGTCTCAATTTTGAAAAAAATCAGAAATTTTTTTAAAATTGAGAAATCAAAACTACTTACAGTATATCTTAAATTTCATGAACAAATTTATTGATAATTATATTCCATGTATAAGCAGATATTATATATTTCATAAAACATCAATTTTTCAATATTAAAATATTTGAACGTTTTTCAATAATGGTATACAAAAATACATAAAACACAAGCATGGAGACACACTATACATATATATTCATAGTTAATCACTGCCGGGCTACGTGGTGGACGAAGACTTTACTGCACTAACAAAGACTTAATATATGTTTGATGTGAGCCATGGCTCGCACTTCTATACATGATGTGTAGCAGAAACTCTAATAGAAACTAAAGTCAAACCTAAAGCTAACTCTAATTTGAATTAAATTAATTAAATCAAAATCAAAATTTTAATTCATATTAACAATAAAATCATATTTTGTTTATAGTTAGATAATAGAAGAAATCATGTCTCAGACTTCTATTTTTATTAAACGAGAAGGTGTTTACTATGGTCAGTGCAGTGAAGTCCTAATTGGACCACAAATATTTGATGTCCTTCGTAGGTGGATTCACGTATATTTAGTATATAGTAGCATCACACCTGAAAATGTAAAATTGATGAATGATATATTTGATTCAATTGATTCTTCTTTAATGACATAAATCTTCTCAAAGCATTATAATATGTATTGAATTAATCATGCGGAAAATTATGTTCACAAAATATTCAACATGATATTTAAAAAAAATTAAGATTAAGTTTGTGAATTAAATATTTTCTTCTAAATATATTTCAATCATACATTCAGAAATAGTTAAAAAAGTATAATTTCTTTTGATTTATTTTACCAAAATGAAAATTCATTTCGTATATATATAAATGAAGATGTAGAGTTCTCAAGTTTTTATAATTTTTTTAAAATATGTTTGCAGGAAATTGAACAATTGTAATGATGAAGGCATGTAAATAAGTGATTTTTTCCCGCAAGTAAACTTTATTTTGTGCTTTTAAAAAAATTATAAATGAAATGATAATCAAAAAGAAATGTATGACCTATTATAAAATCAATTTAGTTGTGTGTATAGATTTCATTGAATGTTATGTTCATTCCGGGTGTTTACAAATATGTGATATATTATAGTCTTCCTAACTTTCGGCTGAGTTGAGTGGGGTTTAGCACCAGTCTTCCCGGCGCGGTTTGACCCAGCGATTATAGCATGCATAGCGTCGCACTTGTGGTTCGTGGAAAACAGCCATCTTTGCGTGTTGTTTTGTGACTTTAAAATTGTGATGTGTGATTTTAAAAAATCATGAATTACTATTTTTAAATATTTTTTCAAATATTAATTCTTTCACTAAACTAAGCGTCTCATTTAGAACAGAAGTCTTGAGATACATATTTTGTGAATATATTTGATACATGATCTACAGATGAAAAATAATTAAATCCATATAAATCAGTAAATAATTTTTTTAGTATAATACTTTGAGCTGAATATGGAAAAAGGAAAAAAATGAAAAGGAAGTTAAATTAATCACTCGAAATGGTATATTAAAAATATATTTGTTCCATGGGATTGATATCCTGAATTTCTTTTATTTGATCTAAGTATTTTTTTATTTATTTGAGAAAAATAAATTTTTTTATTGTTGAATAGATACTAAATTCATAACTTGAGATAAAACAAAGTAAAATTAATACTTTAAAATATCACGTGAAATTAAATTTGTAATTTTTCACGACATACACAGTTTTCTATTTATTTAAATTAAAAGTTTTATTTTTTAAATTACAATGTAAATTTTCATTTCAATTAAATGCATTTCTAAGAATAAAATTTTTTTATATATATATATATTTTTAAAGAAAATAGACATATATAAAGAAATCTTGAAAATTTATTCATATTGACAAGTTGTTTTGTAGATTCTTACTTTTGGACGTTCGATTTTGAGATTACTCTTTATAAATTATAAAAACTCTTTAAATTTCCTATTGTAATTTGAGCCTTGTTTCAACAAGACCATTAGTTATATTGAGCATTGCTCACAAAGTGCTATGAGATCATCGAGTTAAAAAATGGAATTTTTGTAAAATTGATACCACAGGCTATGATCACTGGATGTGAAATCAAGCTAAAAATCACAAATCAGTTTACACAATAACCAATATTTTGATTTATGATTTCAGTTCAAGAGTATTACAGATATCATGTTTCATTCATCTTCTCAATAGATTTTCATGGATTCGTTTGAGATTGAGTGAGAAATGATTGAATGAGATTGAGTCAAGTGAAAAGATGACTCAAAACTTTCATAGTATTGAGCAAAACATATGACTCAAAAAGAAGCATTATAACACTGGTAGTGTTAGAGTTTCAAAAGAATACATCATGATTATGTACTAGATATTTATCATGTATCAGGTGGTTAATCATCATTCATGTTAGGATTGGTCTTATGACTTATGTTAATTTGGTTATGTTAAGGATGTTCATGCAAGCCTGAACATATAGATGAACATATGAATAAACTTATAATCATCAGTAAAATTATAAACTTCTCATAAAAATATCATGAATTATTTTTTAAGTTGATCATTTTCTTAGAAGACAAAAAAGAATGTCATTTACTGCAATCAAATTGGTATTTTAGAAATTCTAATTTTTTCATCTAAGATTCCAAAATTGATGATAAAAAATTTGCAACAATTTTTGATATAACAAAGTTGATGCCATTTTGATACTAGATAGTTTTAATTAGATTTTAAAAATTCTAGTGATTTTTTAAAAGCTAACTGCTTGTAATAGATTTCTTATCATCCTAATATAATATGAAGCAATCTACTGTGAGAAAAGAGTGCTCCTTACCTCAATTGAATTATTTATATCACTATGGTAAGAATCTCCGAAAAAATTAGAAAAATACCTATGCTTTTTTTAAATTCTGAATGAAATTTATTTTGATTTCATTTCAAGTTTTTACTACAAGCTGATTTTATTTAAGATGTAAATATGATTGTAAAAATCGATCTCAGCTAGAGTGTAATAATTAACCTAGGATGAACGTTTTGTAAATAAATAAATGTTATCTAAAGTAAAAAATCATATTAATATATACATAGTTTGTTTTACAAGTCAAAAGGTCTTGAATATTTGGAAGTTCCATATGCTTATAGTTAATATATTCTTTGATATTACGATAGACAATCTTTTTGAAAATCGTGTGGTCTTTGAAAATGTAAACGACTTTCGTCAAATTGTAATGTACACTTTCCATTCAATCAATAAGTATGATCTTTGAGACTGTAAATACTGGTGCCTGGTGGTAGTTTGATCACAATCTCTTTGCTTACAACCGTATAATGTAATATGAACACTGTGTTATAAGGAAACGATTGGTACACGTTATCCAGACTGTAAATTTTGATCATACTGAAAATTATTGTGTTGTCCATAAATTAGTTTTCTTCCCGTCATACAATGTTTCTTGAGCTACATTGTTTAGCGTTAATGATTTTGTCATATTTCCCACTGTAATGTAGATGAGACCTCAGACCTTTTTTTTTTCATTCTTTAGACCTTTAATCTGTCTCATACTTTTACTGCTTATTGAGCTCTTCCGTCCTTTAGTTATTTACTTAGCACCCATTTGTCATACACTATATAGTAGTCCACATCATCTTCTTCTCGGTGTTGATGGAGAATGTTCAGAGTTCATTGTCTTCACTACTACACCTATTCAGACTTAGAAATATCCTGCACGGCTTCATTTTGAGTAGCCTTTGGGACTCAAAAATGTACAAGTTTGTACATGAAACGATGTTATACACATCGGTTCTCCGGTAGCCCACACGATTTTCCTTCACACTTACTTTACAACAATTACACGTCCGTCGGTAAGAATTCAGGAGCTGGTGTCAAAGCGCCGGCGTACTAGCACCATCACTACGCTAAGAGATGAAACCGTAACATGTCCTAAATACTGAAAGTTCAAGCCACGTCCACTCCACATACACATTTCAGTTTTCAAGATAGAACATGGAGTCCCTGAGTACGTCAATTGACATGTTCGTATAAGGAATGAAGAAAAACAAGACCAACCATTACAAAGATGTATGGAAGCACTTCTGTACAAAAGACAACTTCGGTCTTCAAATTTTGGCTACCCGTGAAGTACCGAAACCCTCCCTCCCTAACTCTGTCTTGCATAAGGTGATTTACTTCCACATCTGCCGTAGTCATGAACTGCATTCGAAACATGGAGTCGGCTGATACCACTTCATTTCGTTGATCTCGGTGTTTCCTCTCAACAGTTGGCAAACGTAATGTGTAGACCACGTGCTGCTCGATAGGCTCCTTCAATGCATTTGCCAGAAAAATGAGATACACCTGGAGAAAACAGACGCCAAGGTGGAAACATGTCTCCTCGGTCTCAAGCTGACGGAGCTGCCCGCATCTGACTGCTGTAGTTGCTGGCCCATTCCTTGAACTCACGGGCGGTGCAGACAATCCGCTCCCGAGCTGCGTCTACGCGGTTAGCGCCAGGAGGATCTCTTCCATTGCAGTAATTGTAGAGCCACGAGATTCCAGAGATCGCGAGAATGCCGGAACCAACAGCAGACACGGTGCCTGCTGCGGCAAGGAATAAGACAATGCCCAGTGGGATCAGCACAGGACTGAAGAAGATGAGCAAGGGCACCACGAAGGCTAATATGATGGAAATGCCCACGACAGCAGTACCACCAACGGCCACGATAACGAGACCTGCCAGTAACCACGTCCCAACAGTCTTCACTTGCTCTGAGCGTGGTGCGTGTCCTTGAGCTCTAGATATCATTCTATTCAGGGTGTTGCCCTCGGAAGTCTTGCTCGGGGATTCCATCGCTGCCATTACCGAATCGCGTATCTCCTCCGCTCCTATAAGTCTTGATAGCGTAGACAGAAGTCCGTCCGTCGGACGAACAAATCTACGCGTTATCTTGCCTCACACCAGATCTTCCAATTTACAGCCTGCAATCGATGAAATTGAGAGGTCGATCAGATTTATGACATTCAACGTGTGCGATGCTCTTCATCCAAACGGCTTGATCCGAAAGACATAAATGCAGACTGCAAGTGAGTCACCTGAGGCCTACCCGCTGCCTAATTCATATGCAAATGCGTAGCAGACAGACTGACCCTTACTAGCACAATGAGAACAAAGCGGAGAGGAAATGAAGAAGTGGCTTCAAGATCACGGCGGCGTTTCGCACAACGATAGTGATGAACTCGAACATATAATATAGAGAATCCACGATCTTACCAAACTACAGACGTTCGCTGTCAGCAATAAAAAGGACATAGAGACTTACCCCTAGGGACTCTGGATTGATACTACAATCGTGAGCTACTTATCCATCTTCTCATACGCAATCATGACCTCGCTTCGCACTAATCCTTGGTTATTAACAGCATGATAAACCACATGGACTGCTATAAGACTGAGACCTAGAGGCAGACACACTCCAATCAACTACACCTCCGTAACACAGATGGCTAATCAGATGTATGAGCTTGTAACCCTCACGACATGGGGAGATCCCATCTAAATCGGCGCAACGAGACAGACTGACCTAAATAGAATGGCTATCAACTGATCTCCGAAAATCGGGCGGAATCATGCTACGTATAATCTATTCGAACCAATCAACATTTGGAGTTTCGAACTGGACCATACTCCGCACGTTTCACAGCAACGTTCCGGTTCAGCGCTTGGTTGGCCAGTTAGCATACCTACGCTCTCGAGCTTCTTGAACCGAACAAGTGGAACGTCAGTCTCAACGGCGAATGTTCCATCTATTAACGACTGCCACACTCCGCTTTCACTTCGTCACAGGCAGATAACGTCGTGGCGCGATCCCGCCTTTTTGGCTCCCCAAAAATTCCAATTTCCAACTTTAATCCGGAATTGTGCGCATTGCACAGACAATCGGCAGTTCCAGACTCGTCCGAATTGCAGAGATGACGGGAGGCTTTGCCTATCGTGATACTGAGGATATAGAGAAAATCCCCCGATTTATGAAACATCCGGGGTCGAAAACGGTATCGAGGAGCCCAGAATTCCACGTTCTACGGACCAGCTCTTTCGCAAGGCCAGTGTTCAGAATGTTCATCCAGCGCATGCACAAAGCTGATGCAGCTCCACTGCGAGCACGCGAAGATGAGGATTCAAGATTTGCGCCCACAGAGGCAATGCTCTTTCCCTCATTCCTGCTGTGAACGGAATCTACCGACGGAGTCGATTCCTCGCGAAGAGCCGGAAGCGGAACTCCGTCTGGCTTCATGCAGCGCAACACCTGTGCTTCCCTTCCCGCGCATGCCCGATCCACGACTTCGCAGTCGTACGAAACCAATCAAGACTCGGGGCCACGAGCCGTCGATGGAATTGAGGCGTGCGATCGTCGACACTTCCGTTGAGGATGCAGCGCGAAATTCGTTCCATGACGCGCTGTAGAATTTTCGGTACCGTGAGACTATAGCGAATGGCGATGTTGGTCCTCAGAGGATCCGGCGAAAGCGCCTTTTTGATGGCAGGAATCGCGGATCTGTATAGCGAGTGAGAATCGTCCGGAACGTTGAGAACCCCGGTCGAGGGAAGGAATATTGTCCGAGTCGAGCACACCTGGAGCTTTAATTAATGTCCACCGACACTTGTCACTCTCGGGGCAAAGATGTTTCGCGACGTTACGGATGGAAGTGTTTTCAACGACCGCAGTGAGAGCTGGTAGGGACCGGAGCACGGCAGCCGAGCACTTGCCTGCAACTTTGAACGGTTCTTATTGAAGGCACAGTTACTTCGCGCACACGGCTGGAGTACAAAGTGAACCGGCCTATTTTAAGGTTCGTGAAAAACATTCTGCACAAGCGATGCGAGCCATCCAGTTTGTTTCCTGCTGCTCAGGGAGTTGTTTGCAAGTTCTGATTAGAACTGATTTACGAAGGTAGATCGCAATTACCTGCTGCAAATTTGTTATGAATCGTAAACCAAGTGATTTTAAAAAAATCGATGTGATTAATGTTTCAAACTTCATCTCACTCTCGATTCAAAGAGACCTCCTTAACACAAAACGTTGTATGATACCCAGCAAGTATCATTTGACCACGCACACCCTCACCCATTTTCTAGTAGCCACCGACATCCTAGGCCCACAGGTGTCAAAACACGAGTGCTTTTGGGGCAATGAGCCAAGTTGGGAGCCAAAATTGCAATGGGACGTCAAGACCTTTGAGCCAGTTTTAGTCGCATAGGGTCCCACTAGAGGGTCCAACGCAAAAACAGTCTGAGACCTTTTCGGGGCAATCAGCCGAGAGAAAACACAATTGTTAGAGTATGGGCTTCCCCCATGGAGACACTTTCTTTCCGGTGAGAGCAACTTTCCTTGGGCTTTACGAGGCAAGGTTATGAACTGAGGGCGAGTAGATCCCCTCGCCTAGAATGTGAGCAAGAGTAAGAGTAGAGTAAGAGTAGAGCTGCTAAGGATCACCTCACTTCGGCCCAGCGTGCTTTTTCGACAAGGACACACCGGATAAGGATAAGTATGCAATTTTTTCCCCAAAAAAAAAGCATAGATCAAGTTTATTTAGTTCAACATGTCATGAATTATCATTTGGCACAAGTTTTGAAGATTCTTGCATTTTGCTTTCAAAGTGACATACCTCACCTTGCTATGAAATTAACGATTCAAACAATTGTCTAATATCATCAAATTGTTACTTCCATTTTTTTTGACCTTTTGAGCAGAGCAACTTATGCTATTTCAACAACTTGCTTATAAAGTGATTCAAATTTCTTAAATACAACGCTGTTTCCTATATCCGAATATGAATCTTGAGATTCAAGAAGTTCAATTCTATCATCCAACTTTTCTTCTGCAAGCTTCATAGTCTTCGAAAGTTCTTCAACGTAGTTCAAAAATTCAGTTGTAAATACTTCACTGTTTTCATCGTCAACATGAATAAATGCTTCAAGCTCTTCTTGCCCAACAGAAAGATTTAAAGTTGCAATAGCTTGTGTAACTTTGGTCCCTAAATACTCCATCTCGTTCACTGCTTACCAAAGTCTAGCAATGAGTATTCATATCCATGGGTACCTAATACCCATGGCACAATGGATGGGTAATGGATGGGTATGAGAGGGTTAAAACAACTGAGTTAAATGACTGATCTCTCGGATTGCGCCATGCTAATAGCTAATCAGCACACTGTGCTGATTAGTTATTATTTATCATAAACCTACCAAAAAATCTAATTCATACACGGAATAAAAAACATTTTTGTAAACACATGCTTTACGGATAATCAAATGAAGACTGCTTATAGATTGAAGTGGAGGAAAGCAAAAAATTATGATCTAGATCAAACTTTCGAACTATTCAATCCAATCCTTAGATTCTCATTGGCACGTCACTCTTTCTAAAAAAATTCAAGTTCTTCTAAGTAGCTTTATTTTGGTGATGGACATGAGTTGGGTAAGTAATGGGTATGAATAAGATGCCATGGATGGATAATGGTTGGATACAGTTCATTCGAGCGTAGCTATGTATCGGATATGGGTACAGTTGTCAAGTCCAATGCGAAACTCGGCTGCTTACGGATCAGCTTCCAACGTCATTATTTATGCTTTAACAAATGCATTTTTAATAGAACTTAATGACACGAATTGCCATACTTCTTTGACATAACAGCATCAAGCAATTGAGTTGGATTTTTGTATACAACTCTAGACGCATCATGTTTCAATCTCTATCTTTGCGCTCTTAATTGAAGTTTTGTCTCCTCATTCAATTCATAAAAGTCAACAACGTACTTGAAATAGAGATATTTAAATTCAAAGCTGCAATTATGCCCATATTGCAGGATTGTGTTAACTTGTGCTATTTGGAGCAAAGAAGACGATTCTAACATTGTCGCATTCAAAAATCTCAAAGTTTCAAGGGCCATTGTTTATCACCGACAAACTCGATGTCGGATTTGTTTTTTCACCTCTAGAAAAAACACTTTGTTCAATCACTTCCAACATGTTTAAACATTCATGTAAGCTTCCACTTTACTGATATTTGAAACATTTCACTAACAATACTCTATACAAGCATGTGCTTTTGATTTATCAATCAATGTGCAAGGTATTGTGAGATTCCACAGTGTTGGCACAAACAATAAGAGAAATTGAATACTTGAAATATTTTTTACTTCTAATTGTTGATATGTCTTCGTCTAACATAAGAAGATTCTATCCCGAAAGTAGGCAAAAAAAATCCAATCTTGTTCATATTGTAAACGTTTTGAGTATAGAACGTATTATAGTTCATTTAGATGAACTATAATCACAATAGTTCATCCAAAGCTATTAGCAATACATGAATAAAGTTGTTGATTTTAGCCTACTTTTCCTAAAGTAGCATCAGCAACTCTTGACACATTTAACTATTGACTAGATGCTTTGAAATCAGTTTCAAAAATCAATGAATTTGATGCAATATTTCTTGCTTTTTCTTGCTTGCTATTTCTTGCATCTTAACAAAAAACGAGGAATCATTCAAGAAACACGAGACACAATCATATAACGTGGTTCACCCCGAGGGGCTACGTCCACGGCTGAACTGAAGTGCAAGAGAAGCTTTACTGAAACTGAATACACAATACTGCTTCAAAGAAGCCTTGGCCTTGGGGGTATATACTCAAAGCCAGCGACACACCTAGCTATAAATAACTATAACCTGAGGTTACTCCTTAACCGGAGTCAACCTCAACAATCTCCCCCTTAACTCGTGTTAAGGATATAGTAACCTCTGTAATCTATATTATTACTCAGCAGGAAGTTTTAGACAGAAACCTAACACAAGATGACTCTTTACAGGAGATAACTAGAACTAGACCGTAGCCATAACATGATAGAGTAATAACATAAAGAGGTAAATAGAAAACTTGCTTGCATAGAGAGATCAGAGATCTCATAGTCTATATAATTACTCCGCGGGAAGTTCTAGATAGAAACTTAATACAAATTCCCTCTTTACACCAGAATTAACTAGAGCTAAACCGTAGCCATCACATGATAGAGTAAATATATAAAGAGATAACTCAAGCTACTATGCTAGCAAATTCTACATGTGCTCCCCATGCACAACTTGCATGGTAGCACAATGTCGTTTGAAACTCCATAATGGAATAACTTTGGTCAAAGCATCAGCTGGATTGAGTTTATCGTCAATCTTGACTAGCTCAATCGTTTTATCATACACTGCTTGTCTGATAAAATGATATCTGATGTCGATGTGCTTCACTCTGCTATCCATGACCTGATTTGTAGCCAAATGTAAAGCGTTATGGCTATCACAATGAAGATTAACACCGTTCTGCTTCAATCCCATTTCCATGATAAGCCTATCTAACCAAATAGCTTCCTTTGCCGCTTCTGCTGCTGCCACATATTCAGCTTCAGTTGTTGACTGAGCTAAGCATTTCTGCAAGGTAGATCTCCAACTAATGCTTCCACCGCCAAGTGTAAACACGTACCCAGTTGTAGATCTCCTTTTATCTAGATCATGTCCGTAGTCAACATCAACGTAACCAAACAAGGATTTGGCATTGTCTAATGGACCATCAAATAATAAACCATAATCCAAGGTACTCTTCAAATATCTCATAATCCATTTCACTGCTTCCTAGTGAACTTTCCTTGGATTTGACATATACCCACTTACCTTACCCATCGCAAAAGCAATGTCCGGCTTTGTGCACACCATCAAATACATGAGGCTGCCCACCGCTTGTTCATAGGGAACACATAACATATTTCCTTTCTCCACAGCATCGGTAGAACATTGAACTGCAGAGAGTTTGAAATGTGCCGCCAAAGGAGTCCTAACTCCTTTGGAATCAATCATGTTGAACTTGTCAAGTATACGACGGACATACTTGCCTTGAGTCAACCATAATCATTTTTGTTCATGATCCCTATGGATCTCCATGCCTAATATTCTCTTTGACTCCCCCATATCCTTCATCTTAAATGCAGACTTCAACTTACTCTTGCATTCATCAACATCGGATTGGTTTTTCGCCAGTATGAACATGTCGTCAACGTAGAGTACTAAAATGATGAGATTGAACGTCTCATCATTTAACTTCTTCATGTAGACACAAGGATCATACACGCTTCGTAAAAAACCTTGTGCCTTCATGAACTCATCAAAACGCTTGTTCCATTGCGTAGGAGCTTGCTTCAGTCCATACAATGATTTCAGCAATCTACAAACCAACCTCTCTTTGACTTTGACCTCAAAACCAACAGGTTGTTTCATGGAGATTTCCTCCTTTAAATATCCATAATGAAAGGCTGTAACCACATCCATGTGATCCATAACAAGATCAAATATCGCAACCAGTTGTAGTCCATGCACTTCTCTTGTGTGAAACCTCTAGCCACCAGCCTAGCTTTGAAGATTCTTGCCTCATTTCTTGATGGATTGTCCTTCAGCTTTTACACCCATTTGGAATCAATCAGCATTTGATCCGAAGGAGGTTCAACCAGCTCCCAAGTCTTATTGTCAATCAAG